CAGAACAATGCAATAAAGAAGATATAGATCATTTTTATACAACAGTGCAATCCGCCTTGGATACTATCCACACAAAAAATATAATTTTACTTGGAGATTTCAACGCAAGAATTGGGAAAGCTCAAAAAAATGAAGGAAAGAATATTGGACAATATGCGTACGGAAAAAGAAGCCCACACGGCCAGAGACTAGTAGAATTTGCAGTCGAAAATGATTACTACTTCATGAACAGCATGTTCCCATGCAAACCACACAAAAAATGGACATGGCGATCCCCAAATAGTCAACATCTCAACGAAATTGACTACATACTAACAAATCAACCAACCAATATAAAGAATTTCGATATAATAAAAAACTTAAACTTCAATTCTGATCACAGGATGATTAGATGTGAATTATCCTTGCTCCCAAAATCAAAAAGAAGGAAAATAAATTCTGTCGTTTACATTAAAGAATCACTAGATATTTCAGAAGAAAACGCTAGCTTCTGGAGAAATAAATTTACAGAAGCTGTTCGTACACAGGCAGAGGTACAAAACCAATATGACAAGCTAGAACAAGAGTTACAAGAGTTTCTGAAACAGCTGCCACGGAAAAAGAAACATGTAAACAGATATATAAATGAAGAAACAAAAGATCTCTTAGAACCAGGGTTGGCTGATTTAAATCAAACTGATTTAAATCATGATTTAAATCACGATTTAAATCACTTGATTTTGATTAAAAAAATCATTGATTTAAATCAACATGTATAAATTAATATAATAGGCAGAAAATTAAATAAAACTGGCTTAAAATAACGTAAAATCTTCAATAGTCCCATAAACTTAGTAAAATCAACCAAAATTTTTTTTTTTGAAATTCACCCTTAAGGTGAAAGCTCTAGGATGGCCCGCAAAATTCAAATATTTTTGCATTTTTTGGAATTTGCAGGTCAGGGTCAGGTTGTATGTTTAATAAAATATGATTCGCGACCATAACGAGTATGTGTTTACAGAATTATTAAAATCACCAATACAACCCTTTAAGTTCATATAATCCCTTTCAATGAGTTTTTCTGGAAATAGCCATACAATGGGATTATACAAACATAGACGGTTGTATTGATGATTATGATGATTATAATTCTGTAAATACATACTTGTTACGGTAGAGAATCATATTTTCTTAAACATACAACCTAATACTGACCTACAAATTGTAAAAAACATAAGAAAATTTGAATTTCGCGGGTTACCTTGGCGCTTTCACCTTAAGATATGAACTGTAATTAAAATTATAGTATTAATTATTTTACTCTTAATCAGTTTCATATATATGTATTCATAAACTTTTAATCCTACTATGTTAAAAAGTGTTACCAACTCGTGAATTTCCAAATATACAAAAAAAAAATCAAAAAATTCAAAAAAATCAGAAAAATCATGATTTTTTTAAAAAAATCATGCTGATTTGATTAAAATAAAAAAAATCATGATTTTTTCCATCCCTGCTTAGAACAGAGAAAAGGGTTATACATGAAGAAAAGAACGAAAGAATTAAAATGTGAAATAACAAGAATAAGCAAAAAAATTAACAGAAATATTACCCAACAAAAAAGAAGAATACGACAAAGAACATTTGAAAAATTCATAGGTAAAACAGGGGCTCTACGTAAAGCTTATAAAGAATTGAGCGACAAGGCAGAGTGGACAGAAAAACTGAGAAACAAACAGGGAATTGTGCAATCAAGACGTCCTGATATCATAAACGAAGCCACACAATTCTATAAAAAGCTTTATACTACCACAGATGGCAGTTGCTCCCTCTTATGTGAAAAACCAGGCGAATATAATAGAGTGAATGCAAACAAAGAAATACCAATCATTCTCTGATCAGAAATCGAACACGCAATAAAATCTCAAAAAGACGACAAGTCCCCAGGAAGTGACAACATTGCTAACGAAGTTCTTAAAGCGCTAACCGCTACACTTTTGGAACCTCTTCAAACATTGTTCAATAACATACTCAGAACCGAAACCACACCTGATCAATGGTCAAAATCTACAATCATACTGCTTTTCAAAAAAGGAGATAGAAGAGATCTAGGGAACTATAGACCAATCAGTCTCATGTCAAATTTATATAAAATTTTTTCAAAGATCATATTGAATAGGATAACAAAGAGTCTAGATGAAAACCAACCGCGGGAACAAGCAGGTTTCCGCAAAAGCTACTCGACTGTAGATCACATACAAGTTATAACACAATTAATTGAAAAAGCAAAAGAATATGGGAAGACGTTATATATGTGTTTTATAGACTACACAAAAGCATTCGAATCTTTACACTTCAAAGCTATATGGACATCACTTACACAACAAGGAGTCAATCAGAAATATATTAACATAATCAAGAGTATATATACAAAATGTCTAGCAAAAGTGCGCCTAGAACGTGAAGGTACAGAATTCCCTATACAAAAAGGAGTAAGGCAGGGAGACCCTCTCTCCCCGAAGTTGTTTTCAGCGGTGCTCGAATCTATTTTCAGACGTCTAAATTGGGAAAAGAAAGGAATACGGGTAGATGGAGAACTACTGAACCACTTGCGCTTCGCGGACGACATAGTGGTCTTCGCAGTAAGTGCTACCGAATTGGAGTATGGTGTTCGAACTAGCAATGGAAAGTAAAAAGGTGGGACTGTCAATGAATACGATGAAAACCAAGATTCTAACCAACGGAGTACCTCGGGACATTATAATAGCAAATGAAAAAATTGAATATGTAAAAGAATATGTATACTTAGGACAGCTAGTATCATTTGTAAACAATACAGAAAAAGAAATAGGAAGAAGAATAAGTCTAGCCTGGAAGAAATATTGGGGATTGAGAGAAATAAAGAAAAATAAGGATATCAATATAAATATAAAGAAAAAACTCTATGAAATAGCGATATTGCCATGCCTAACATATGGTTGCCAGACGTGGTCATTGAGAAAAGAAGATGAAGAAAGAATTGCTATCTGTCAACGCAAAATGGAAAGAAGCATGCTTGGTCTAAAACTATCAGATAAGGTTAACAACGTCAACATCAGAAAAAAAACAAAAATAATAGATGTAAGAAAAAGAACAAGACTACTCAAGTGGTACTGGGCAGGACACATCTGTAGAATGAAAAATAACAGATGGACCAAACCTCTAACAGAATGGATACCAAGAGACAGGAAAAGAAAAAAAGGGAGACCAAGTAAAAGGTGGAGAGACATTTTTAATCAGAGATGTGGCCCCCTATGGATGCGAGTGGCTCGGGAAAGAAATATGTGGAAAGGTTTAGGAGAGGCCTACGCCGCAGAGGCGACTACTACTAATATCAATTAAGTCATATATATACATACATAATTATACATATAACAAAAATACATATTAATTATACTATACTATTATAACCTAGATTAATCATATGTCAAGTTTGCATTGTAGTAGAAATAAAGGCTATTTTATTTATTTATTTATATATGTGTATGAGACCTGGCCCAGCTGAGGTGACCGGCAGCGGCCGATTTCCATGCTGCCCCACAATGCTGCATCACTCCAGCAGGCTTCCTCGCTGGACCATTTCTTTCTTCATGTCACTATTTCAGTCTATTAACTTCATTGTACATTTAACTAACTTAAACTCGCCTAATTCCACATTCATCGTAGAATCGAACACGTGATACCCGACACAGTAACGGACAGTAGTTCAAAGTTCAACATTCAATGTCCCGGATTAATTTATCACCAAATTACAAATAGGGAACTAACGCGATCTCTTCATGAGTCACACGGTACGGCGTTAAACACAACTAAGTTCCTTCGTTCGATACTAAATACTACGCCACGATAATAATTCAAAATCCGCCTCGTTGACACGTAAAACGAACAAAAAACAGTCAACATACAAAAAAGGGCACTTAACGCGGCGGCACAATTGCAACGATGATTTCCAAACAATCACCAGGGAGACGCCCTCGATAAAGGACTGCGCTGTCCAAATTCTAAACCGTATCTCTAATCGGCGCGCACGCAAAATTCCACGTCACCCGAACAAGTTAAATATTACAAAATGCATTTCAACACGCATTCACTATCTAATTTACACAATTACTTTCAAAGAAGTTACTTTAATCACTCAAACACAATACAAGCCTCTTGTCAAGAACCTAAACCCTAGACAACCTAAAACGAGGCGGTTTTCACGAAACACAATTAGGTAACGTAGCGAAGTAACGCGCACAAATTCTAAATATCGAGACCGTAACCCCAAAATCGGTCGCGCAAAACCTCGGCAGCGGCAACCGAGGTATGCTAATTAACTGCCCGGCTGCCAGCAAGCTACTGCTTCTCTTAGCCCAGCGTCGGAATCACCGGAGTCGGTACACCACCGCCCCGCACCGCGACCCGCGCGACACCTGGCACCATCGGGCGATTCACGAAGTCGAACGTGATTGGTTGGCGTACAAATTACCTTTTTTGGGTCTAAACATTACTGTTACTAACTTGATTAGAAAATGATTGCATTGTACTAAAAATGTTCATTTGATTTCTTATTTTAATTTTACTAGAGCTGTGGTAGCTCATGGGCTAAGTGCTCGAATTTTACAGTACGCGAGCAACCTGGGTTCGATACCCGCCGGCAACAATGAAATTGTTAATTGTAATTTTAAGTGCTGATTTACCACGTGTTCGGCGGTGAAGGAAAACGTCGTGAGGAAATCTGCATGTCTGAGAAATGAGAAAAAATAATATTTCGATGACATGTGTATTTCGCCAACACGCATTGGGGCAGCGCGGCGGACATTTCCTTGGCCTAATGCCCTCTCAGAACTGAGAGGAGACCTGTGCCCAGAGCAGTGGGAAGTATATTAACTTTTTTTTTACTTTAATTTTAGTTAAGTTTATTATTATCTTTTTTCATGTTCAAGACACAATGCACATTGTTTAAGTGAGAAATCAATTAAAAATATATATCTATATACCTTGTTGTAGTCGCACATCTTCCAGAAGAGCACGAGAAGCTCTTGATGCAACGCGACTTTTTTAGCCGAGTTTGGTAGATAAGTTTGCGCTAATGGGTTATTGAGAAGTCGCGTAACGCCTCGAAGAACAAACTGGAAGTCCTCGTCACGGTGGATACGGGACAGGTAATTTATGAACAGGTTATCCGGGAGATTCTGTAAAAGGTATGAAAGTAGTAGTGTAGAAACAAGAAAATGATAGGGGGAGCCATCCATATGACACGGCTTTTGGATGATCACCTCTCACTTTTATGGCACGTTTAGATTATCGGCACGAGTAACTCGCCAAGTAGCTCGCAGTTATTCGTGGACAAGTACGACGCGTATACATATTCGTCTATATTCATTCAACCTAGATCTTTTAAACACGGATGACGACAGTCTACTTGATATTTATAGATTCACAATTATTTATTTGGGGGGTGTGGCATTATTAAGGATAACTTAAAAACTACTGATCTGATCTACTGATCAATTTATATGGGACCACATGAGAAGCACCAGCTTTCAAATAAAAAAGAATCATCAAAATCGGTTCACCTATAAAAAAGTTTTGAGGTCCTACACATAAAAAAATACAATCAAAATGAGAACCTCCTCTTTTTTTGAAGTCGGTTGAAAATTTTTGTCAGAATCAAAGAATCAGTACGTAATTTAAGCCGATCGCTCAGCTTCTTATCTAACACGGATGTCACTCCACGGATAGAACTTTTTTTTTATAGGATAAGGGTGATAAACGAGCACACAGTCCACCTGATGGTAAGTGGTTGCTGCGACCCATAGACATCTACATCTATCTTCGATTACGAATCAAAATGCAGACGCGTTGTCACCCGTGAGGACTAAGATGTAATGCCTCATTTCCAGTAAAAAGGATCTCCGGTTCTCTACACTCGCCATACGAAACGAAGCAGCGTTTAGCTGCTATTTTACGCTGGTATTCTGTGAGAGCGTGGTGCTATCCCGGTCGAGCCGACCCATTCGTGCTACAAGCATAATATAGCTGCAGCATGGCTCTACCACGTAAAAAAGAACTGAATAGAATACAATAATTTTTATTCAATATAGTTTACAAAAATACTTATTCAATCATTTATGCTTGCCGTTGGTTGTGTGGAACTCTGTATTAAAAGAACCAGCAAGAAACTCAGCGGTAATATTTTTTTAAACAATAAGTTACTACTGTTGTAGTGATGAAATAATCGGGAAGATCGTGAGCCAATATAAGTAAGTAAGTAAGTAAGTAGTATAAGAGATAGTTTAAAAATATGTGTATGCAGGTATAACTAGGCACGTAACTAACACATCGTGAAGTACGGCAACAGTCAGCGTTGTTAAGGCCGGCCACATACATACGGAATTCCGTTTCGAGATTCCGTTTCGGAATTCCGAACGGGTCGGCCACACACATACGAAATCCCGTTTTGCCCGCAAAATTTCGAACGGAAAACTACCGTACGTGTGTTACGGGTCATAGATTTTATATGGACTTGCTGCGTTCGAGATTCCGAATCGGAATATCGAAACGGAATCCCGAAACGGAATTCCGTATGTATATGGCCGGCCTTAGTTTGCAATTTGTCCGCCATTGTAAGATAAATGTTCGTAAGTAAGGCCCGCCATATACATACGGAATTCCGTTTCGAGATTCCGTTTCGGAATTTCGAACGGTCGGCCACACACAAACGGAATCCCGTTTTGCCCGCAAAATATCGAACGGAAAACTACCGTACGTGTGTGGCGGGTCATAGATTTTATATGGACTTGCTGCGTTCGGGATTCCGAATCGGAATATCGAAACGGAATTCCGTATGTATGTGGCCGGCCTTAATCACCTAAAATACCTGTTTATAAGTAATAAAGTATTTCATAGTTCTAACAATATTTGTTTTCGATTCACTGACCCAATAATTACAATATTAATTAAATATGAAAACATTTAGAAACAGCATGGTAGCGATCGCCTCAATCCGAGCGGTTAGGAGTACAATCATGTATTCTTTAGTAGTATAAAAACCCTTAAACAATAACTACAGGTTTTAACTATAAAATAGTTGTAATACACAAAAAGTTGTGCTGTTTTTTTTCAAAATTAACAGTATAGCTTAGTAACTGACTTCGTCTGAATATTCACTGACGGCGTTGCTCGTGTCGTGGTCCAGAGCGACGATGAGCATCTGCAGCGCTACCTGCGAAACAAATGACTTATTGAAGACTAGCCACTTGCCCTGGCTTCGCCTAGGTAGGATCAATTAATGTTGCGATATTTAGATAGTAGGTAATCTATCAAAGATTATTGCATGCCTTAAGCGCAAAGCGCGTAGGTATGTTCTACTAGCGCCTAAAAATCAAGATTCCTACGTTTTGTCGCATAAAATCGTATCTAACAATCATATTGAACATATCAATGATATAAAAAGCACATTGTCAGAAAGATAAATGTTTGTTGAACTTATTCATATATTTTTTTAATCGATTAATTGCTATTTTTACATAAAAAAGTGGTTTTAGAGGCTTATAGTGTAGATTTATCAAGTCCGCATGGAGTGGTAAACACGATAACTTTAGAAAATATCAGTTGTTTAACTCAATCTATTTATTCTATTTTTCAATTTTTAATTCACAAGAAAAACTTAATTTGTCAGAAAAAATATAATTTATTATTATTTTATTTATTTATTTTTAAGCAAAGGATATAAACACTTTGAGATAGAGCTTAGCAATAAATACAATTCAGTGAATATCTGTGTCTGAACTAGATAATTTAATATCTGTGTTTCAGACAGCAGCGCTCTTCCCATTAAGGTTCTACATTTCACTGTATACAAGAGAGATCACTAATCAATTTGTAATTGAGTTGTACAGTGTAGGTAAGAATCCTTGTGTGTAGTATTACAATGTGTTTTTTATAGTATAGGAGTACAAACGAGTACACAGTCCACTTGATGGTAAGTGGAGGCTGTGGCCCATAGACATCTACATTAATCCTATATTAAGAATCAAAATACAGTTGCATTGTCTCCCCTGAGGACTAAGATGGAATGCCTCGTTTCCAGTAAAAAGGGTCTGCGGTTCTCTACACTCACCATACGAAACACAGCAGCATTAAGCTACTATTCATGCTATAACCATAATGTGGATGCAGCTAATACGTCAAGTATGATTTAACAAGGTACATTATGTCAAGTATGATTTAACAAAGTAATTGTTCAGTTTCGTTATAGTTTAGTTTTATGAATATATTCAAATAGTTTCCTTTTGCACTTTCTAATATTTAAACTTCGTAATATGTCAGTAATTTTGCTGACTTTAGTATAGATATGGACCCAATAAGGGAAAATATTTATGTACAAATTGGTGTTTAAATATTGGTATATCTGGGGAAGGTTATTATCTTATAAGATAAGAATGATGTGATATCAAGTTAAACTCGCTAGTTTGTTATAATGATAAGACTATAGGGATTTTTTCTTACCTCAACCAGTGGCTCAACTGTATCGGCGAAGAGAAGATGGTTGTAGGGCAAACCAATTCCAACTGGGTCGTACGAGCATACAGTGTTCAACAGAGACGTGAACAGTGGCAAGGCGTGACGATTGTCTGCACTCGTCAAGTACCTGAACATAAAAACATTTTTTAAATAAAATCATCACTTATAATTACAATTAGCAATTTTATTGATGTCATTGCTCGCGTACTGTGAAATTTATAGTGAGCTATATAAAAAAAGGCAAATCACAGAATACTAGCGTAAAATAGCAGATTAATGCTGTTGTTTCTTATGGTGAGTGTAGTGAACTGGAGATCCTTTTTTCTACCAACAAGGCATTCCATCTCATTCCTCAAGGGTGACAACGCATCTGCATTTAAGATTCTTAGTTGAGGATAAATGTAGATGTCTATGGGCCACAGCATCACTTACCATCAGGTGGACTGTGTGCTTGTTTGTCACCCTTAATTTATAAAAAAACACGCTATTAGTAATATACCAAATCAATTGTTCAGATAAATTTTGCCTTTGGACTTCCTAATTTTAAGGTTTATTTCCAGTTTCTACTACTTCAACTGATTAGTTCAATCGTTGATAAAGTAAGTCACTTTTCTCAGTAGTTTCAAGAGGGAGAGAGTGAGAGAGAGAGAGAGGGGGGGGGGGATATGGTAAGATGAGTGATTGTTTGTTTCCTCTCTTTATTTATTTAGGGGCTTTTATTCAGAACGAATGTCAGCCCCATCACACCCTGATCCTAATGACACACAGTTGGGAAAAAGACCTTTTAAAGATAATAGAATTATTGGTGTTTCATAACAATATCAACCAGAAATTTTGCAGTATCTGACAGTGGTTCTGCTAACACAGTTGAACCAACTGAGAAAGTGATGATGTGTGAGAAACTTACGCGATCCACTTGTTGTGGTGCGAGGCGGCCTGGTGCGCGGGCTTGTAGATGGTCTCGCTGCAGCACGTGAGCAGCAGGCGCAGCAGTTCCGTGCGCGCCGCCTCGTGTTGCGCGTTCCTTGCCGGACTGCGAGCGAACCCCACCCCCCCGGCCCAAATGTACTCGCAGCTGTCCATTGAAGACAACTCCTCGGCACGCTCCTGACGGCAAATCATCGTGGACGAAAAAATAAAATTAGACGACTAAACAATGCTAGACTAACTAGACAAATTAAACAATTTAGACATACTATACATACAATTATTAAAACAGCATAAGCTACTGAGTTTGGAATCTATACGTTCGCTTATAATGGCCAAAAGGGTTAAACTTCGCCACTACCCAAAATGGCAATACTGCCGCGCCAGCTAGTTTGTTATAAAAATATTAAAATACTATAATATTTTATAGCCTATATTAGAAAAATAGTGATGCTATTATAAAAACACCTTTACAAATATTAAAATCCTTTTAGTTTATGGATGATAATAAACCCTGGGAATGAGGTGATCGCTACCAAGCTATTTCTAATTGTTTCTGTGTGGTTAATAGTGTAACATACATGATTGTAAGCTTGTTATTTAAAAAAAAAGTCCCGCTGGGTTTCTTGCTGGTTCTTTCCAGGACAGAGGTTTTTTTCGAACCAGTGATAATTAAACAAAAAAGTGACTTTCAATAAGTATCATTTATAATCTATATTGAATAAAAAAGTTTGTGTTTCTGTAACTAAATCAAATAGAGAATAGATAAAGGATGAGAGATTAGGTTTATCTAATCATCAAAATAATCAATACTCACCGGGCCCGATCTCTTTGTGCTGGCCACTGTGAAGTCCGGACAAAACAGTAGATCCTGAGAAATGTGGAACACTGTATCAATAAAAGGAGGTTTTAGATAAGCAAATTCTATATAGTTTATATAACATTTAACGTACACAAATTGCGTTGATGAGTGACTGCGCAAGTGGCACAGATTCATTTTCAGCGGCTGCAGGGAGTGATGACCAGAAGAAACTGTGCCACTCCAGCTCCTCTAGCATGTATGGTAGGACCCGCGTCAGAAGACGTGCACAATTCAGAGCTGTAATTTTTTACTTTAATATAACATAATAAACAACCCTAGGGCCATTTTAGAGGCTTAAACATACCAATATCTGGGTATCGTAATGTTGGCAGGTGTTAATACGAGAGGCCTGTTGATCTGCATAGCACTTTAATTGAACTACTCTTATTCAACACTTAACTTTAATATATATCATCATGGGGGTTACATTACACTCGTACTACACCTTGCCCCGACAAAAAAATAAATAAAAAATGAATGCATTTTTTCTTATTAGGTATATAAAATTATAAAAATATTATCACTAAAAAGAATATAAATTACATAAATCGAGATAAGTGTATTCTAGAGTGGCTAAGTAGAAAACTTCATGAAACCCCTGCCTCATAAAAATTTCGAGGTCAGAATAGAATTGGTACGATATCATGCATGAATACAACATACATATTTAAAAAAAAAAAGGTTTTAAAAAGTTACTTCGCAAACATCCGCTCTATAAAATAAAATGACGTGTCTTACCTAGTATGAAGAGCATCTCCCGCCCTCCCTCAATTACGTGCACTATACTCGGCACCACTAATCCCAGCACCACTACTCCCAACACCACTACACTAGGAAAGACACACCACTGACGACAATACGACACGTGTTTCGCCTCTACACGAGGCATCCTCGGGTGATGTAGACTCTACGTTGGCTGACCGTTGATGTAGAAGCAAAACACGTGTCGTATTGTCGTCAGTGGTGTGTCTTTCCTAGTGTAGTGGTGTTGGGAGTAGTGGTGCTGGGATTAGTGATGACGGGGATAGTGCACGCAATTGGGGGAGGGCGGGAGGTGCTCTTCATACTAGGTAAGACACATCATTTTATTTTATAGAGCGGATGTTTGCGAAGTAACTTTTTAAAACCTTTTATATAATGGATTCCCGCAAAGTAATGCCTGATTCTATTAATTACATACATATTTGACATAATTAGGTAATACATATTATGTTCAGAAGTTTCCATTTTTTTTAATGGATAAATTATAAAAATTTACTTAAAATAAAACAAAAATATGAAAGAATCAATAAAATATCTCTAAAAATGAAAAAGTTATGGGACTTTGAAGTTGCGCGTACAAGAATAATTTTGTTACACGCGGTGCTCCGTCGTATACGCCGTATACGCCGATTACGAAAATTGTTTTGTTCATTACCCAATGGCAGAAGTTAAAATAAATGCCTACAAATATTGTATTGTTCCTATGTGTCAAAGCACAACAATTAAAAAATCCCAATTTTTTTTTTCCGTATACCAAATAATATAACAACAAGGATAAAGTGGTGTAAACTAATGAACCGCAATTTAATTGGACCTAAAAGCACTAAATATGTCTGTGAAGATCATTTTGATGTAAGTAACTATTAATAAAAGCTGCCTATTTCTGATTTGGAAGTAATTAGAAGTAGACTTTAGTAATGAGTTGGTGGATGACTCGAACTTTAGGTCTAGTCAGTTTGAATAGCCTATCATGGAGAAAATGTCATGGGGGTCATAGTTGAATAGGGGAAAAAGTTCTCTCTTCTCATTACACTCCTAGGGTGTCAAAATGGCCAATAACCAAAAAATTAAAAATTCTTATTTCGGCTATAACTCTGCCTCCTTCGGAGGTTATTACAGTCTTTACTTCCCGTATCCCGTTGTTGATATACCTATTGAGTCGTAAGTAGGTTCGGAATAACTTATTCAGTAAAAATAACTATATATTTTATGTAAATGTATTTGTTATTTACTTTATATTTGAAGCGTCAGTAGCATAATGGCAAGGTGCGGATTGTGAACTCGAAAGGTCGTGGGTTCGAATCTGCCATTCGACTACTGTCGTGAACCACTTCTAACACAAGCATTTTAAGCTTACCAGAAGTGGTTAAGAGGAATATTAGTAATGTTTAATAGAATTACTAGTATTTAAAAAAAATGTATGTAAGTACTTTAAAAATCAAATTTATTTACCGGTTGAAAAAATAATACTTTACACACATTAACAAGTATTTCATATATATTATTTATCATTATTATTAGTATTAGTCGCAAACACATTCCTTTTTTTGATTCTAAGGAAAATATATTTTTTTAATTGAGACATATTCATATAAAATACATTATTACACAGCTAAAGTTTGTATATCAAAATATTTATTAGCTTTAGAAAAGACATTTTTTTAATGATTTCTTATATTTACGTGAACACTACACATTAAATGAAACTAATTTTACGATTTTATCACGTTTAAATTTATCTTTTTAAATTTTTAAGTTGAGGAGGACTGAGGTGTTTGGCGTCCCGATATCATAGTTATCCCGACTACCTTCAGTTTTTGAGTATTCATTTTTGGCAGAATGAGCTTACAGTATCTGGATTTTTGTAGGTGGTATGCTTGCGTTTGCATTTAATTTTATTAATTATAGGATCCCAAGCAGATGGTAGCACCCATCCATCTTCTCTATTGAAATTACGATGTTCTTTAATTTCAATAGCCTTGTGGATTATCCTTAGCAAGAATCGCTGTTTTATCGCAAGGATTTGTGGTTTATCAAATCTAATTTAATGGCAGGGGCTGTCTAAGATATGATCACAAGCTGCAGACTTCCCGGAGTGTTGGCAAATACATAACAAAAAGGATAGACAGGTTACACACTAACATTATTATTTTTAGGTAGGTAGTACTATATCTACGTACAGTTATTTATTATGACACGGTGCGCTAACAAAAAGAGAAATGATAGGGATACATATTAATAGAAAAAGATGAATATACATCATTAGTTGAATGAATGAATGAATATACATTATTGATTGCTGCTGAGCGCTCATTGGCACGAGCGCATGACATACCGACATGGAAAATGAACACACTAGCTAGCGTCAAAGTTTACATTAGCGGTTAGTGTTAAAATAATAAAACCAATTATGATCAAAGCATCCATATTCAAAATATTAATGAGACATTTTTCTTGTCTCTAACAGTTGCTATGTAATTTGTGCACCACCTAAAAATACAGGAAGACATTATTGCCACAAATAACTAGAATATTTACACACTATAGCGAAGTATAGCCGTTGCCCGACTGAATGCGAGTCGGGCAATTACCGGACTTTCATATTGCCATTCTCGAGCAAGCATGATGTATCTATACTTTTAAAAACATCTTAGTGTGTTGGTGTTTCATGTCAGCTATATTTTTTGTTAGTAGATAAAACATATTTTTTATTTTCATTGTCTTTAATATAGAAAAAAAAATAAAACTATTTAATTATAAACTTATGATAATAGAGAATCAATACTGTTTGAACTTGATTTTAAGCAATGTATAATGCAAATTTAATTCAAAATTGTACAAATTTCGCATACAAAAATATAACATTAAAAAAAAAGATAGTTACTTTAAAAATAAATCCATGTTAACATGAAAACTCAAAAAAATATGGTAAAAGATATACATGAAAATGTATTTACCACATTTGTTTTTTTTTTAGCAGAACAGTAATAAAATAATTGAAGTAAATATTAAATTGTCTTATGCTTTAATACAAATGTGCCACAAAAGTGCTTACATAACTTAATTTATAATATACTAGCTGTTCCCCGCGACTTCTCTTGTATATTAGGGTTTTTATGTTTTTGCGCGGAACCCTAATTCTTTTTCTAAAATAAAAGTATCCTAAGTTACTCGTTATGAAGCTATCTGCCAGTGAAAATTCCGTCAAAATTGGTCCAGTCGTTTCGGAGATTAGCCGGAACAAACAGACAGACAAAAATTTAAAAAATTGTATTTTAGTTATAAAAACCGTATTTACTTTCATATGCATTTAGTAAAAAGCGGTAACTTTGACATTACAAACAGACACTTCAATTTTATTTATTTGTATAGATATTATTAATATTTTTTTCAGCTCAGTTTGCCCCGAGCAGTTATGTTTTTGAGTGGAATTTTGCCTCCCCCAGAATACACGGGGCAGCCTGAGCACCCACGCTCAGGAGTGGAATAACATGGTCGTGGATGCTCAGCGAGTGATTCTCCATGGGTGCTGGTACCCTCCTAGGGTAGTCTTTTGTGTAATTCAGCTACCATGCACTCACCAGACGAAACGCAGAAGCAGAGCTTTCACTTCACGCCAGTATTCTGAGGTTGTGGTACCAACCCGGCTCGAGCCGGCCCATACGTGCAACAGCAAAAACTGCCATGTGGCTCTACCACCATTAATAACTCTAATATATATCGTCTTGGGAGACTGCACTACCATAGAGTATGGTACAAAACATACATATTAATGTAGCAAACACAAAAGATCAATTTGTAATGATTTTGAACACTTAACAAAAGTATTTAACTAACAACCTTTCCAGCTATTAAGCAGCTGTTCCAACCTACTAAAGTCCACTGCTGAACATAGGCCTTAGGCGGCAATCTATGGGGGATATTTGCCATAGTTTCCACGCTATGCAAACAGGCTGGCAACTGCAGTTTGTTATTTTACTCGTTATTAGGAAGACTCTACTGCCAATCTCCTGATATGTTTCCCTCTGTCACTTCTTACAATACTCACGGGGTGATGTGGGGAAGTGGATATTCTTACACCGCCATTACACAGTAAACCCTAAATTAAATATATATTAAATAAATATTATAGTGGCAATAATCAATAATTAACCTAGGTGGTTTTATTTTTATATACCCACACACATATTTTAATGACATAAAGTCATTAAAATACATGGGTATGAGTAATAGTAAAAGGGTTAAGTATATACTACAAATTCTAACAAAACAATAACAGGACACATCTAGCACTTTTATCATTATACGGCTCAATATTAATTACAAACACAACATCATAATATTGATTTTGTATGTTTTATTAAGGTTTTGTATATACCTATCTTATCTAGATAACTTACAAGTTTATGATATATGGAAACTCGATTTTTCAATTAGTTTGTTTTATTAACACAAGGTAGCAATTTTTTAGTCGGGATGTTTTAAAGAACGATCAATAATTTATTTATCCTGACGATTGTTCTATCATTATAATTCACTAATAATGTAGTAAAAGCAGACAATTACCGGTCTGTTGTTCCCGATGTGTTCTGCAACTGCTGTCTACAGTTTTCACCAGCTTTTCAACGGCCTTGTACACAAGGGTAGCCAAGTTGTTAGGCGACTCCTCACGTAGCGCTCGTATTTCAGCACCAGGTACCAATGCAAACACATCCTGAATGTTTGTTACACTCTCCGACCAGAATTGATCCCAAAAACTATCATCGGTCGCGTCGATAGGCTACAAATAAATGAGAATTGGCAAAAATTGAAACTAATAACGTCACATAGACAAGAAATTACAATATACCTGCGTCTTTGATGTAAGCTGCACTACAGCTTTTCTAAAGTTCAATTTTGTATCAGCGTTACCCATCTCTAAGATCTTTTAATTATTTAAAAATATTAAAATTCATCTCCGAATTACGTACACACTACACAAAACAAATCGAAATTGATTAATTGACTGACAAATGACAATTGACAACAGTGTGACCATCTTTAAAATACAAATCCTGCCTTACTTTGGTTAAAAACCTGCCAAATCCTGCCAAAGTATGTAGTGAAAAATACCCAAATAAAGCCAATTTTATTTACTACTAGCTGTTCCCCGTGACTTCGCCAGCGTGGAGTTATTTTTCGCGGAACCCTAAAATAAAAGCAGCCCAAGTTACTCCTTATAACATCAGTTATCTGCCAGTGTGTATAAATATTGACATTAATATTTATACCATACTAACATCACTCAATTGATATGTTTTTCCTGAACCCCTCCACTAATACTTAAACTTTATGGTATGGTATTAGAGTTCAAATAGACTTTTAAATATTATTACGAAAATTTTTGTATGGAAATATAGAAAAGTGATGTTTTTAGACTTTTTCAGGCAATTTTTTAAATTTTTCTCTCCGTAAGAACTATCTTCGTACTTCAAGGAATATTATAAAAAAAGAATTAGCGAAATCGGTTCAGCTGCTCTCGAGATTTGCGCTTAGCAACACATTCGGCGATTCATTTTTATATTATAGATTGTATTAAACTAAGAAAAGTAAAAATTCACATTTAAATGCTATATTTTTATTAAATAAAATTAAGCATATCTTTTGGTGGTTTGAATACAATGCAATCGCCATGCTCACCAATCCCTTGTTTAAGTGCTATAGAGACGTGCAATATAGACGCTACATGTTTCTTTATAAATCTGTGTAGTGTTAATCTAAATAATAATCTTAATTAAATTATTAGTCTTAAGTAAATTTATTTGAAAGAATATGCTTTAGCATGTTGAATCCGCTCATATTTTTTTGATGTATACTCCTTTAAAGCTCCTTTAAAGCGGACAGCCGGGATGGCAATTTTCAGTAACACATTCTGGATCATCTTTAGCTTTGGAGATGAAAGTAAAGGATCTTGCTCTCACTCCACTCTATACGCCCTTTTATATTTACGCTTCATCACCTCCACCTATAATTACTATCGTCCACGAAATATTATTGACAAGATATCGCTAACAAAATATTATCACCATGAAATCTAATGTGATACCAACTTAAAGTACGTCTCGTCTCTTCTATGACTGATTGAAATATCAAACATAATTTCGTGTTTATGAATACTTTTTTTACAATAATCAACTTTTTACACAAGCTTTTAAAGTTGTTTGTTAAATAGAATAGAATAAAATTTTATTCAATATAGATCACATGTGCAATTCTTATTGAAAGTCATTTTTTACTTTACCACTGGTTCGAAAAAAACCTCCGTCCTGGGAAGAACCAGCAAGAAATCCAGCGGGACTTTTTTTTAAAGCAAATTTTACAATAATGGCTGTACAAATTATATAAGTACAAAATTTATATTAGAAACAGCTTGGAAGCGATCACCTCATTCCCAAGGGTTATTATCAACCATGTATTCATTTATGCTATAATAACCCTTTTTATACAGTTTCAACTTAACAAAACATTTAAACTTGCTAATAGAGAGAGCCTGTACACTTTCCGGGACCTTGTTGTAATAGCGTATACATTGCCCCAAGAATGAATTACTGACTCTGTGGAGTCGAGAAACTGGTATCACTAGCTTGTGTTTGTTCCTAGTGTTTACAGAAAGTATATCACTTTTTTTTTACTAAAACTACCTTTGTTTTTGTGAACATACATTAAATTTTCGTAAATATACTGAGAGGCCAAAGTTAATATATTTATTTCTTTAAATTTATCTCTAAGAGACTCTCTCGGTTTTATGTTGTAAATAGCTCTAATGGCCCTCTTCTGTAAAACAAAAATAGTTTCTGAATCAGTCGCATTTCCCCATAGCAAAATCCCATAAGACATTATGCTATGGAAATAACTGAAATAAACTGATCTAGCTGTCTCGACACTAGTGAGACCTCTAATCTTTTTTACAGCATAGGCTGCAGAACTTAGTCTGCTTGCTAGTTTGGATATATGGGGACCCTACTGAAGCTTTGCGTCGAGTGATGCCAAGAAAAACAGTGGACTCAACAGGGCTCAGTTCTTCCCCATTTAAAAACACATTGGTACTCAGATTTTTAACATTCGTTGTTGTAAATTTAATACATTTAGTTTTATTTCCGTTTTAATGTAAATTATTAACGTTAAACCAATGCACTAATTTTGATATAGCATTATTCACTTCGTCACATTTAAATGATTGACGTTTAAGTTTAAAAATCAAGGAAGTATCATCAGCAAATAATACTGTTACGGCCTACAGCTGCTCTAGCAAGGGTCGAATCTTCCGGGGCCCATGAGCAGAAGATTCCACGAGCAGCCGCAGGTCGGTCCCAAAATGGCCACATGGAAGAAAGAAAGAAAGAAAGAACTATTTATTTGATATACACATTTTACACACATTAAAAAAGAAAGAATGTCCTATCATAATAAACTATATGGGAGAATGCTAGAAACACATAGTACGTACCAGTATCAGAAGTTTACCTCGCACCAAGGCTCGGTCAGGCCGTGAGTGGGTGTAAGGTGAATGGCAAATAGTGTTCAGTGATGTGTAAATGTCTGAGACCTTGACCAACTTAGGCGACCAGCAGCGGCCGTGTTCCAGGTTGCCCCACAATGCTGCATCGCTCCAGCAGGCTCCACCGCTGGACCATTTCTTTCTTCATTGTCACTACTTCAGTCTATTAGCTTCATTGTACATTTAAATAACTTAAACTCGCCTAATTCCACATTCATCGTAGAATCGAACACGTGATACCCTACACAGGAAGGACAGTAGTTCGAAATTCGACATTCAATGTCCCGGATTCACTTACCACAAAATTACCAATAGGGAATTTAAGCGATCTCTTAATGAGTTATACGGTTCAGCGTTAAACACAACTAAGTTCCTTCATTCGACACCAAAACACCACGTCGCGAAAAGAATTGAAAATACGCCTCGTTGACACGTAAACTAACGAAACAACCAACACACAAAAAAGGGCACTTAACGCGACGGCACAATTATAAGGATTTCCATACAATCAACCGGGAGACGCTCTCGACCAAGGAATGCGCGGTTCGAATCCTGGACCGTATATCTACTCGGCGCGCGCGTGCGCCATTCCGCATCACCCGAACAAGTTAAATATTGCAAAATTCACATACCCACGTAGAGAAGTACACGCCTAAAACTAACTATCTGGACCCTACACGGTCGCGTGCCTTCGGCCGCGATAACCTAGATACGCGGCTTCGCCGTCTCGCGCCACCGCCGCCCCATCTGGCGGCGTTTTTTCACCTACATACTATCGGGTGACGCGACAGCTCGAACGCAATTGGATAGCGTTCAACATGACCAAAATTGGGCATAAACAAATACTATATCATGATTATCCTCTACAAGAGAAGGTAAGTCATTAATATACACTAGAAATAGGAATGGGCCGAGAATCAAGCCCTGAGGGACACCCATTAGTACAGGTGACCCGGAAGAACTTTTACCATTGATAATAACTTTCTGCATTCTATTACTTAAATATGAAATAATAATTTTAAGCGCTGTGTTCTTGACACCATAGTACTGTAGCTTCCTCATTAATGTCTCATGGTGAACGCAGTCGAAGGCCTTGGAAAGGTCACAAAATATACCCAAAGCATCCTCTGAATTCTCCCATGCACAAAAAATATGTTTAATAAGCTCAACTCCAGCGTCAGTTGTCGAGCGACCCCTTGTAAAACCGAATTGATTTCTATGTAGCAATTTATTAATATTAAAGAAACTTAACATCTGATCTAAAATTATTTTTTCAAAAATTTTATTAAATGTTGGTAGTACAGAAATTGGTCTAAAATTGACGGGGTCTAATGTACTACCAGATTTAAATAAAGGTATGACTTTACTATGTTTCATTAAATCAGGAAACATTCAGATTCGACGCTTGTATTAAATATAGTGGCTAGATAAGGTGCTATTATTTCTATTATAGATAAAATAACTTTAACGGAAATCCCCCATAAATCTACCGTTTTCCTAATATCAATAGTTTTAAAATATTTAACGATATCTTTTGGCAGTACTCTATGGAATTTAAAAGTATTTAAATAAGAATTACAATAATTTTTAAAAAATGTTATTACACTTTTTGTCACTTTTTGTTCCAACACCAAAATGTTGTTATAACATTTATGTACGTCGGTACCTTACCTTTACCTTTCTTAAATATAAATACAAAGCGGCAGTTATTATTAACTATAACATAAAATTGAGGTGGATATAATGAATTTACAATATTTAAATTATTAAAATTTATCGGGATCAATTACTTTTACAACTTATCACCAGGGCCGCCACAGCAAAAAAAAAATGTTATACAAACATAATACGAGAAATACAGTGAAATCCCCCACATTTACTATATAGTTTGTGCCCACATGGTAGCGAAGAATCTAGAGTCTATTTTTATTACCCAAGTAAGAGGCCAATAAGAGGCCAATGCTGCCAAATTGGCAGGAACCTGCCACATATGGTCGCACTGATTGACATCTGATTCTTTTTATAACTAGCTTTATGGCTCTTGGTTTTAGCCCTTCTGAGCCTCTCAGTATCAAGTGATAATAGGTAATCTTAGAGTACACTGTTTCACAATATGTTGATGCGACACATTACGCAGCCCTTGGGAGATATTGACGGCAACTTGAGCCAGCAGACAGTTGGCGATAATATTTCAAGGCGCCTAAGTGGACAGACACCTTATATTGAGAGTCACATCACCATAGGAGCACTTGTTTCACCGTTTCTACTAATAGTTCAAATGCGTAGACATTTAATACACAAAATCGCACCTCTTTTACATATCAAAATCCACTTCAGACCATTATTTAAACAATAATACAGAAGCAGCAAGCCGCCAC